CAGCCTGCTGCTCTGCCTCACCACTCAGAGTCTCTGTGTTGCTACTCTGTTCGGTCCCATGGTCTCCTTGCCTGGGCCTCTGGTCTCTGCCTGGCTCCATGGTTCTTTCATATGGTCTCAGTGCTGCACCCTCTGGTACTTTTTGGATCAGCCTCCCCAACTTCAGGCACAGCTTTCCAATGTGCTCCAATGATGGCTCTCCTCCCTTAATGGGTCCGGGATTTCACTCTCTCAGAGGGATAACTCTGATGGAGGTGATGTTGTCTTTCAGGAGACCATACATAGCCCACACAGAAACAAAGGGTGGTGGCCCAATAATCCCTCTAGTAAGGTAGAGACTCACAATACATGCCACCTTAATCTTGTCCACTAGCATTAACACAGAACGCCCTCCAAAATGGGATTATATATAACAATAGGCATAGAGGCTAGAATTTAGAATACATTGCATGAGCGATTATGGCTAGAATATATAAAGACTACATCTGTACTGCAGAGCAGTCATATAATCTCAAAGCATATAAAGTAAAACGTCCCAATTTCTCTTCCTCCCCTGCACCGTAGCTCTGCTGTTGTTGTTCGGTGTTCTGAGTGAGAGGGACCTTAGGAACAGATGAAACACTGCCCGGTCCTGCACCATCTTCACAATGATTGTTTTTGAATCCATTGTTGCAGCTATTGTGTCAATCCATCTTGTTGAGGGCCTTCCTCTTTTTCACAGCCCCTCTACTTTTTCATAGCAGGATGTCCTTCTCCAGGGACTGGTCTCTCCTGATGATATGTCAAAAGTATGGAAGAGGAAGTCTTGCCATCACTGCCTGTCAGGAGCACACTGGCTGTATGTCTTCCCAGACAGAGTTGTTTTTCCTTATAGCAGTCCATGGTACCTTCAATATTCTTCTCCAGCACCACAATTCACATACATCGATTCTTCTTTGGTCTTCCTTATTCAATGTCGAACTTTCACCTGCATATGAAGCAATAGAAAATACCCTGGCATGGGTCAGGTGCACCTTAGTCCTCAGAGTAACATCCTAGTTTTCCAATACTCTAACGAGGTCCTGAGCAGCAAATTTACAGAATGCTATAAGTCCTTTGATCTCTTGACTGCTGCTTCCATGAGCACTGATTGTGTTACCAAGCAAGACAAAATCCTTGACAACTTCAACCTTTTCTCTGTTTATTATGATGTTTCCTGTGGTCCAGTTGTGAGGAGTTTGGTCTTCTTTTCATTGAGTTGTAATCTGTATCGAAGGTTGAAACCCATGATTTTCATTGGTGAATGCTTCAGGTGCTCCCCGCTTTCAGCAAGCAAGATTGTGTCATCTGCATATTACAGGTTGTTAATAAGCTTTCCTCCTAGGATAGCTATACTCCTACCTTATTAGCCATTTACCAGTAGTCTTTTGTGTGTTTATTCACATTTTTGATGCATATATAAACATGTATCTATATATTCATCAACCACCCATCTTTGAATTTTTTTATCAGGGGGTAAAAAAACCTACAAATAACTTCAACCAAAGAACTTGGAGGCTATTTTCATTTTAGCTATGAAACTATAAGATTATGTGATGATTACACTTTCTCTTTAAATATTTCCATCATAAAATCCTTATGAAAAAGATAAGATCAGAGAAAATATTAAAAAATACATGGTTATGGAGAATTGAAAATGCTGAAAAGAGTAACCATAGACAATGGCAATGTATATTCTAAGAGTCATAGAATGTTAGTATAAAAGCAGTAAAAAATCCATTCCTATAACCTTCCTTCCCATTTTATAGAAAGAAAAGGCTCAAGGTGTTTCAACAACTAATCCCAGGTACCCAGCCAGTTTACATGACTAGTTCTGCACTAGCACAAAGCCTTGATTTGTGTGATTTTCAGCACTAAACATCCAAACAAGCCAAAAGCAAAATCATTTCCTTGGAACTGATTTTATGGAGTCTTCCAGTCCCATGGCAACCCCGTGTACTACAGAATAGAATAGCCCGTGAGAGGCTCCTGCTGTAATCATGATGGAGGCAGATCACCAGGCCTTTGTTCTGCAGCACTTCTGGGTGAATCAGCAGTCAGGCACAAACCGTTTACATCCACCCAGGCATAGTATTACCTTTCAGTTTTCATTAGTACACAACTGATCTTATACCTTTAGGACAATTTTTCTCCAAATTATAAAAGATACAAAGCTTATTGTAGGAAAAAGAGAGAGAAAGAGAGAGAGAATTCCGATGAGCAAAAAGGAGGAAGACAAATTCTACTCAATTAATACTTTACATTTTGAATCTTAATTTTATTCTCTAAATAACCTTATCTTAAGTAGAAGCTTAGATAGATACGCAGGCTTGGTTAGGCAAAAGGTATAGGAAAGAAAGAGGGAGTACATCCACAAATATGTATGGTTTGACATGATATTTACATACCTGTATTTACTTTTGCTGCACATACATGTCCATGGATGTGGGTGAGGATGCAGGGAGCCGAATTAGGAGAACTTGTTAGACATCCCCCAATACCTCAAGGGCATGAGTTGCTGGGCCTGATACTATGGCCAGTGGGGAGAGCACAGTTTATGAAGACAATGCTCTACAACCTACTTTGGTGAGTAATGACTTGGATCTTAAAAGCTCATAGCAACCATCTAAGGTGCACTCATTGGTCTTGCCCCATCGGGAAGAAGGGAGAATGAAGAAAATGGAAAGACAAGGAGTGGAGGGAGGGTGGTTGGAAAGGGGGAACTGATTACAAGGATCTACATGTGGCCTCCTCCCTGGGGGACGGACAACAGAAAAGTGAGTGAAGGGAGATGTCAGACTGTGTAAGATATGACAAAATAATAATAATTTACAAATTATCAAGGGTTCACGAGGGAGGGGGAGCGAGGAGGGAGGGGGAAAATGAGTGGAGAGCAAATGTTTTAAGAATGATGAGGGCAACGAATGCACAAATGTGCTTTACATCATTGATGTATGTATGGATTGTGATAGGAGTTGTATGAGCTCCCAATAAAATGATTGAAAAAAAAAGGAAAGACAAGGAAACATTTTGTCCAGTGGACTAATGGACCATGGAAACATCAGTCTCCATGACCCTGAGGTCAGAAGAACTAGATGGTACCAGGCTACTACTGCCACCTGGTCTGAAGAGAGATTACACTAGCAGTTCCTGGATAAAGTGAAAGAAAAAGGTGGACCCAAACACAAATCATAAAAGAGAACAGGTTTATTGGATAGAGACTGATGGAACCCCCAAGACTAGAGCCATTCTTAGTTATCCTGCTGGTCTGCAACTGAACTCACAGCCACGTTAGAATACGGGACCGTTAAGGTCCAAAGGGCAACATGTACTCCAGGACAGAGCACCGAGGGTCAGGAAAGGAGGAGGGGTGGAAACAGGAAACACAGGAGGAAACACTGGAGGAAGTGGGATAAGGGACGGCACAGGGAAGGGATTGCAGTGGATGAACTGAAGCAGAAGATCCAGGAACTACTGACGGTAAAACTGAGATCTGCTCTGTGAACCTTCACCCGATTCCTAATAAAAAGTGTAAAACAACAAAACAATCAACAAACCAAAGCCATGATAGCTGCAAAGTTCATTAAGCGAAATATGTCTATAGGTAGAGGGTACACAGAAACACGTCTGAAGACCAAGGGCCCCGCGAAAGTTAAAGTGAGGAGGAAGTGGAAACTCTGTGTAAGCAGAAACCGGGGGAGAAACATATATACAGAGAGAAGCTGATGGAGCTGTAGACGGAAAGATGCACGCATGCTGCAGCTGAAGTCCCTAGAGCTGCCTTTACCCACGTGGCTCAGTCTATGCTTCCTGATTCTCCACTCTGTCAGTTCTGCCACATGTAGTCTTACAATAGCGATTCCTTACTTGATTTAGATGGTAACTACTATTGAGAAAACAAAAAGAAGGGCTTGAATTATATATGTATAATCACTAAGAAATCATTTGAATCCCACTGATCTTGAGAGGCATTATCTGAATGTATCATGAAATGGTTGAGATCAGAAGTTCCCACGCTTGACCAGTTATTATAACCATCTAGGGAGTGAGCAAAATCAGATTCTGGGTACTCACTGAATCAGAATATCTTAGAGGAAATCTTTCTAGTTTTGAGTCTATATGTTCAGAAGGTAAAAATCAGGCCTTTTATTTCTGGGAAATGAAAGCATTGTTGGGAAACCATGTTGAAAAAAGAGTAAAGTGTTTAATAACGTTACTCCTCTTTTGATTCTGTAGCCTTTTGATTCCTATTTTTACTACTTGTTAAAAGATATAACTTTCAACATTGCATAATCTATTTTCTCTACCTATAATTCAAAAATTTCTAGTTGCTTTGCCTACTTTCTTTACTTTTTTTTTTAAAGATCATTTTGTTGGGTGCTCTTACAGCTTTTACAACAATCCATACATCAATTTTATTAAGCATATTTGTACATATGTTGCCATCATTATTTTCTAAACATTTACTTTCTATTTGAGCCCTTGGTATCAGCTCCTCTTTTTTCCCACCCTCCCCTCCTTTGTCTACTTTCTGTGCACAATAGTTTTAGTCTATTTTCATATGACTGGTTTCACAGCTTATGAAGAAACTGCTAGAGCAAAATATACTATCTTACAAAAAAGAGATGAGTGATACTTTGCATCTCTCTTATTCTTATGTAAATTTTAAAACTATACAACAAAGTGGCTTTCTGATTTCCTATAATTAGTCCCTGCAGACTCGGGGGAAGTAAACTCTAGATTAGGGTAATTTCTGGAAAAGTCTTGTATTGTTAATTGAAAATATTAGGCTCAAATATAGGCTGTCAGACAGTTATTAAAAATATTAGGAAAATGGCTTAATATAGATAATTTTTCAATGTCCCCTCACAATCTTATGAGAATTTGCTTGAAAACAAAATGAGCCAAATGAATTTAGGAGATTTAAGGAAACCATATTTCATGAAAAGGAAAGAGATTACAATGAACTTCATTGTACTTACAAAGAGTGTTGGTCTGGGGGTAAACACACTGTCTTCCTGGTCTCTAGACACATCCAAAGCTTTTGATTTCTGGTTTTCTGCCACATTTTTCGAATCCTCCTTAGTAAGGAGTAAGCTGCTCTCAGGGTGCTTACTGCGCATATTGATGAGCACCTGCTTCATTGCTGCCAATTCCTGTCGGTATAAGAAGAGGGCAAACATGATATTCAGTAAGCAAAAGGATATAGAGAGACATTAAAACATTAATTTTCATTCTTGAAGTTGAGACACAGTTAAAGCAATCAGCACACAGACAACAGTTGTGACAATGACAATATACCCACGCACAGTAGTGATGCTCATAAATTTTGTGATCATTAATTGTATTTTACTATGTGATCCACATAACATTACATAATCCAGTGATTCCCAGATGATCAGGTTTGCACACGGGGATCGCCTGATGCCTGAGTCCCATTGCCAGAACCTGGTTTGCAGTAGGGCCTGGGCCTGGGGGCTGTTCACAGCACCTCCGGTGACTCCACTGGACAGAGGAGCTTGAAAACCACTATGAGTTGTCTACCCGATTGCTGCGAAGATTATTTCAAGCACTCACCTTTTCTCTTTTTCGTGGACTGTTTTTTTTCCCCCTTATGGAGTCTTATGAAAAGATGATAAAGGGTTCAAAGATCCCCCCTAACCCCGATACCTCAAACAATAAGCTTAATACACAAGAGAGATTTTTAAAGTTCATGGAAAAAATAGAATGAAAATATACTGGAAAAGGAGAGAAAATGTTTTGAGAAATGATGTACAAATACGCTTTACACAATTGATGTGTGTATGGATTGGGATAACAGTTGTATGAGCCCCTAATAAAATGTTTAAAAAAAAAATACTGGAATTACTCTATATATCTTTTGAAGTCCATTTATAGTTTCAGGATTCTGTTATCCACTATATTCTCTTATCCCTTTTACAAATGATCATTGGAGCTGATTTTATCAATTGCCTTTTGGAGAAAGAATTTAGCTGAGTGTTGTGAGGAATTCAGATAGAAACTCACCCTTTCCCTATTTTCCAAGTCTATCTTGTCTTATTACTGTTCTCCATAGTTAAACCTTCAGCACCCAATGCTATGATGTGGTTGTTTATGATTAACTACTAAACAGATTCAATTAAGCACAAATAAATGGAGAGATGATAGACTAAACTGTCCTTTGCTTATTTAGATGAGGGACAGGCAGTGTTGGAGGCACTGCTGTTTTTACCTCCTCTTACTTTATTTTATCCTTACGCCAAGAGACAAAAGCTATGGCTGATAGATGTTCTTCTCCCATCTACTAATCTGTTTTTAGACAGTACAGCAAGTTCCTACAAGCCCTTCTTTTCTGGCTGTCATTAGTTCTATTTAGAACTATCTAGGCTGAGTGGGTATTTAAAAACAGAGCTGCTGAGTTTAAGCCACATAGCCTTAATAGATCTTAGGGAGAGGAGAGGAGCTGGAAGAATGTTGCCTGAATCCTCACTCACTCTTTCTCTTCACCGCGGCTGGCTTGGTCAGTGTATATGACAACGTAGATGTGCACCATTAGATACCACCAATCAGATATTTATTGAACCTTTTGGGGGTGCTTTTTACTTTCAAGATTATGCTATTCCAATTACATGCTCCCTTAGAACATCAACAGTGATTTAATGTTTAACACATCTGGTGGATTTCGGCTACAACCTAGGGAAAGGGGAGATGGCGTTTCCTAGTCTGTGGAAAGAACAACCCTATCTGAAAGAACATCTTTCTATTAGCCATAACTTTTGTCTCTTGGCATGAAGATAAAATAATAGGAAAAAGTGATTCTATGATAGCCTACAGCTAAGTAAAATAAAGGAGCGTTTAGTTTGTCACACCTGCTGGGGGCAGGGTCGAGGGGAAGGGAATGAGGGGAGAGCAAAGGAAGGAATTGAGGGTGCAGTAGGCAAAGATCGTTGGCCCCTGACTGCCCTAGATGAGCTCATAATGTGGTTTCTATTTGGCTTCCCCCTGTTGCAGGTCGTGGAGCAGTTACAGGAAGCAGGTAACTGCTGACATGAGTCCGAAAATGGCTAAGAAAATTCCACATGGCTTTGCCTTCCTCAGATTGTCCCAAACTGGAGGGTTGTCACAGCACTCCTTTGTTCACCTGCCGGGATCCACGGTGTCTGACATCTACCTAAAGAACACTCGAAACGTGTTGAACAGTGTCCCGAGAATTCATGTCCACTCGGAAATTAAGAATGTGACAATCTTTGCAGATGTGGGCCCTAAATCCACTAACTGGTGTTCTTGTAAGAGGCGGTTAAAAATCAGCAGAAGATGGCCCCTTGAATAGGTAGACGGAGGGAAGTAGGCTGCCCAAGCCAAGGGCTGCCCGGGGCTCAGAAAAGCTGGACGTGTCCAGGAAGGCCTAGAGTTCTCAAAGGGAAAGCAGCATTGCTTACGTCTTGATTTGAACCTCTAGACACCAGAAACCTGAAAGAATACACTTCTATTGTGTGAGACACTTTGCTAAGGCAGCTGTAGGAAATGAATATAATAAATGGCATAACATTGTATAAAATTCCTACTAGAATAACACAGCTAGAATACCACAATCACATTTAGAACAAATTCCTTCAGTCACGTTTAATTGAATGATGATCTCTTTTACAGCAACGGTAAATGAGAACTAGGAAAATAACATCATAACATCAAATAGTATCAATAAGATCAAGATATTCTGATCACACAGAAAACCAAGCACATGAAGTAGAAATATCTTAGTACTTGGCTAGAAGCTAAAGACATGACTATTTCTGACTCTGTACTAATTATGTAAGTTTAGGCCAACCTACTCTGGTTCAGAGTTTCAATTTCATAACTGATAAAAGGTGTACTTGTGTAAGTGACAGACTGCTAACCTCAAGGTTGGCAGTTCAAACACACCAGCTTCTCTGTGGGCGAAAGATGAAGCTATCTGCCCCGTAGGGATTTACATAAAGAATGATGTGGATGGACGCTCCCCAGGGGTGGTGGTGGTGAGACAGGGAGCGAGAGCGAAGGTGGAGAATTGTTTAGAGCATGCACAGAGCCCCTGGCAACATTTTACCTTCTGGAATTTATTTCCCCGAGTCCCTTGCTACTGGGAGGAAAGTTCTTGAAAATCTCATGTGATCGGGAACCTTTAAAAAAGTTCAATGAGCATGCTGGGGGCAAGAAATATTGAGTCTGGTCATGCTGGCTGGGTTGTTTTCTTCCTCCTAGGAGTTTCTAACTAAAACTCTTTTATGAAGAAGAAGGGAAAAAGATTGACAAGATGGCAGTGCTTTTGTTTTTTTGGGTGGGTTGGTGGGGAGGGTTATGCTTTTTGGATTTTTTCCAGTGTGCTAAGAATTTTTAATTTGTGTAGTTCGACAGTTAAGAGCCCTGGTGATTTTGTGGATTACACTTTGGGCTGCTAACCACAAGGTCAGCAGTTCGAACTCACCAGCCACTCTGTGAGAGGAAGGAAGAGGAGGCTTTCTGACCCTGTAGAGAGTTACAGTCTTGGAAACCCACACAGGCAGTTCTACCCCACCCCAAGGGTCACTATGAGTCAGGATTGACCCGAGGGAAGTAAGGATGGTTTTGGATTTTCCATACATAAGCTGGGCATCTTAACATATATTTAAGGCTATTTTATTTTCTGGGAATACGCTGGGTTTATTTTCTGGGCTATTAGCCATCTTATTAATTTCTAGGAGCTCTTTATATATTAGAAAAGTTAGCCTTTCAAAATATGGGGGCTTAATTGTTTTCCCAATTTATCTCCATCTTTTAAAAAATGCTTTTTGTTTTGAAATACACAACTGATTTTTTTTTGGGGGGGGGAACTGAATGTATCAATCATTTCTTTCTTTTTTTTTTTTCCACATACGATGACTTTATTTATAGGAAATATCCAGAACAGGCAAACCCGTAGAGACAGACTGTGATAGACTAAGACTGGGTGGCATACCATAGGTAAAGGGCCAACTTCACATTTAATGAGAATGTTCTACATACGGATCGTGGTGATGGTTGCACAACTCAATATACTGGAAGACATTGCATTATATACTTCTTTAAAAAAAATCATTTTATTGGGGCTCATACAATTCATCACAATACATACATCAATTGTGGAAAGCACACTTATACATTTGTTGCCCTCATCATTCTCAAAATTTGCTTTCCTCTTGGGTTCCTGGAATTAGCTCATTTTCCTTTTTTCTTTAATGGTGTCATTTATGGTCTCTATATTTTCTTCTCCCATCTTCCCTCAAGTTGCTTCCAGGGTTTCTTTTTTAGACACTTAAATCTTTGATCTGTTTGACACTTTGCCTGGTTTATGGTGAGAGGTACCCCACCGACCCCAGATGGCTATCAGCTAGTAACATACCCTGTATATAAAAAAAACAAAACATTTTCCCTTCACCGATCTGAGACGCTATCCTTACCCTAAAGTCAGCTTGCCTAAGTACACGGTCAATTTCTGGAATTTTAAACTCTGTTCCAATGGTCTTTATGCAAATACCAACATCAAACTCCTTTAGAGTTGAATGATGAAATATTTCCCTGACTATATTCCTGGGGATTAGAGTAGGATTATGCTGAATTTTAAAGAAAGAGAGAGAGGAAGGG